AGGCTCTGGCCATAGCCGGTTTGGCTCAGTGGAGAGAGCGTCAGCCTGTGGACTGAAGGGTCCGGGGTTGGATTCCTGGTCCGGGGGCACCCTGGGTATTGGGGCTCGGTCCCCAGTAAGGGGGGGTACGGGAGGCAGCTGATCCATAATTCTCTCTCATCATTGATGTTTCTCTCTCTCCCTCTCCCTTCCTCTCTGACATCAAGAAAAAAAAAATATGTATATTTTTTAAAAAGAGGGTAGGTTTGCCCGGCCGGTGTGGCTCAACAGTTGAGCATCTACCCAGCAACCAGGAGGTCGCCGGTTCGATTCCCGGTCAGGGCACATGCCCAGGTTGCGGGCTCGATCCCCAGTGGGGGCTGTGCAGAAGGCAGCCAATCGATGACTTTCTCTCTCATCAATGTTTCTATCTCTCCTTTTCCCTTCTTTTCTCTCTAAAAAATCAATCGAAATATTTTTTTTTCTAAAAAAAGAGAGTAGGTTCTGGAGCTGGACTAGTTAGGTTTGGAACGTGGCACTACCACTTACCAGCGTGTGGGATCAATTTTCTCACCTTCCACCCATAGAATGGGCACAAGGGATGTTCATTAGAGGAATTGGTCCGTGGGGCGTGCTTGCAATTGTGTCCAACATTGATGAGCTCCTGTCCTTTTTAGTATTAGTTGTAGCGTCAGTGTTTGTGTGATAGTATGTGCATCTCACACACCGCAACCCCCCAAGCGACGCTTCCCTGTTTTCTTTTTCACTTTATCTTTGTTGTTGAGTGTGGCCGATGACCCCCGCCTCTCTGCTTTCTTTTTCTTTTTCTTTTTAAATACTTGCTTTTTTAATGGGAGTTCTCTGCTTTCTGAATGGACTGTTCACTGCGTGGAAGAGAAAGTAGACAGGAAGTTGTCAAAGAAAAGAATGTGAGTTTTTTTTCCAGATAATATTGTCACCAGATTACAGTGAAGGAAGTGAAGGGATTGGGGCTATAAAGAAAGGTGCTGTTTCACGGCCGAGAAAGAGAAAGTCAGATCGATGAGCGTTAAACAATGACCTTCATCCTTTTGATCCCACATGGAAAAAGAAAGAGTACATTATTTTAGAAGAAGAAAATAATCATACGATATTTTTTTAAAAAACACACACGCGCGATGTACGTAAAAATAAAAAGGTTCCACCCAGCCGGGTGGCTCAGTGGTTGAGCAGCGACCTATGACCCAGGAGTCAGGGCACGTGCCCGGGTTGTGGGCTCGATGGTGCAGGGGCAGCCGATCCATGATTCTCTCTCATCATTGATGTTTCTCTCTCTATCTCCCCCTCCCTTCCTCTCTGAAATCAATATATATCTATATCTATATCTATCTAATCTATATCTATATCTATATCTATCGCCTGTTAATTCAGCCTCCTTCGGATCACATGTTCCCACAGACCCTTTATTTCCCCCCGTGGGTGGAGCGCTGTGGCGGGCGAGGGGCCCCCAGCGCAGGGTCCGATGAGATGGGAGGTGGGGTGCACGGGGGCGCGGGGAGCAGGAGGGCGCAGAGAGGTGGAT